TAATCATTTTGAATAAGCATTCCTGCTATATATCTTTTCACTTGATTGTTTGACAAATATGTGATTCTCTATGTGTTAATTTTATAGTGCATAAAAGTGCAATTCAGGTTCTGTACTAAATTGTATTTTCACATGCAGCAACTTGCAAACTTATGAGCAGCATCAAATGCTCAATTCCTGAGTTTACTTGTGTCTCATCTGCAAAGGTTGTATTCTGATTAGTTTATGGCTTTTTTTGCATATAAGATACTAGTTTTGGCTTTTGGTTAATGAAGGAATAAGTTCCCCAACAGATAAGTGCTATATGTTTATCATTTTACTTCTTTTTTTTTTCCTCATCTTGCTTTTTTGTAATTTTTATGTTTATTTTTATTTTACTCTGTTATTTGTCCTTTTGTATCTCATTCTTGGACTTGTCGTTGTGTTCTGCAGCTTGTGAAGCTACTTGAACTAAGGGAGGCCAACCATATTGAATTTTGTAGAATAAAAAATGTTGTTGATGAAATATTGCACATGCATAGAAGCATTGACCTCAGAGAAGTTTTAAAATTATTGATGGATCCTGCTTGGGTGGCCACTGGGTTGAAAATTGACTTGGAAACACTGGTAAGTAAAGCACCCTGTATAGGTAGGACATGAAGGTGTAGCCATGTTTATTACATTCTTTTGAAATTCAATGTGTATATGTATGATTTATGGGTCTTGTTTATTCCAGGTTAATGAGTGTGAATGGCTTTCAGATAGAATTGATCAAATGATTTTTCTGGATGGTGAAAATGATCAAAAGATAAGTTCTTATGCCAATATTCCTGGTGAATTTTTTGAGGACGCGGAATCTTCATGGAAAGGGCGAGTCAAGAAGATCCATATAGAAGAAGAAGTTGCAGAAGTTGAAAGGGCAGCTGAGGCCTTATCTTCAGTGGTACATTTATAGTACAATATTTCATGCTATGGCTAGATTTGTGCTGGTTTTGCACTTTTTCCTTGAATGCAATAAAGTTTGCTCTGTCCACTTGATTATACGACATCATGGGTTGGTTACTAACTTCGTAGAGAATGCTGATGAGTTGGAATGTTGTTGGACTAAATTTTGATTTTTCAGTGCACATTTATAAATAAGTGGAAATCTGCTTCGTGCTAATTTGTGTGTGTTATCCTTTCCAATGTTCATTGTTAGTCTACTTTTTATAACACATGTGGTCCTCTTTATTTTTGGGTATTTAACATTCTTGTAGGTTACTGAAGATTTCCTCCCCATTGTCTCAAGAATAAAAGCCACCTCAGCTCCACTTGGTGGCCCAAAGGGAGAAATTTTATATGCTCGAGAGCATGAAGCTGTTTGGTTTAAGGGAAAACGGTTTGCACCAGTTGTATGGGCTGGTACTTCTGGGGAAGAACAAATTAAGCAGCTTAAGCCTGCTTTAGATTCAAAAGGTAGAAAGGTTGGAGAGGAATGGTTTACCACAATGAAGGTGGAGGGTGCTTTAACGAGGTGAAGTTTGCCATTCCCTTTCTAGAAGTGGTTACATTTCTATTCTTTACACTGGATTGATGATTAATAAAATATCTATATTGTGTTTCAGGTACCATGACGCGGGTGCCAAGGCAAAAGCAAGGGTTCTGGAATTGTTAAGAGGACTTTCTACTGAGTTACAAACTAAGATAAACATCCTTGTCTTTGCTTCTATGCTGCTTGTCATTGCAAAGGCATTATTTGCTCATGTGAGGTCAGTTGTACATCTTTATCCATATAAAAGTTTGTTGTCTTTTCTCTTTGTTGACTTTTATGTATGTCCTTAACAAATTCTTAGGACATTCATAGAATGGTGAATGAATTGAAAATTCATGGAAATGATTCCTAAAACTGTGTAGAGTTTGCACTTTTTGAAGAAATTCAGATTGTTTAATGCACTTCTATGCTATTCTGATTGTTTAATGCACTTTTATGCTGTTTTTGGAGCGTGGTTAGCTTTGTATCAGTTTGAACAATGTTGTATATCAATATGGGAAGCTTTTGCATTCTATTCTGTGAATTGATTATACCTTCAAACCTGTGATGCCCAATGTCTCAACACCTTAAAACACTGTGAGTTCTGGCCATTTTATATTTTTGTTTCTTGTAACGAGTGATTAGTAGTTCACTTTTTAACAGAATATTACTTCTATTAAAGGCAGATTCTTGTTTATGAAAATTTTGGAATTATCTGTGTATATGAACCTACAGCTACATATTATTCCTGCCAGATAAATTCTAATTATGACTTCATTAATACTTTACAGCGAGGGGAGAAGAAGGAAATGGGTTTTCCCTACCCTTACAGGATTCAGTAGTTCTAAGGTAGTTTTTAAAATGTTACTTTATGATTTGCCTTTTGGTTGTATCATTTTGGCAGGGTGATTATATCTACTTGTAGTTGATCTACTATTATTATCTGTTATGAATGATGATAATAAGAAGCATCAATGGAGAAAGAGCAACATACTGCAAAATAACGAGCTAACGATCAAACTACTTATAATATTGTGACAAGTAAAAATTCAAGATTTTGAATCACAACAAGAAGCGTTTATCATTTTCTACTAACATTATGGCATTATTCATAAAGAGCTTCTCCATTTTTATGTACTGGATGCAGGGTGGAGAATCATTTGATGAAACAAAAGGAATGAAGATAATTGGTCTGACACCATATTGGTTTGATGCATCAGCAGGCTGTGCTGTTCATAATACAGTTGATATGCAATCGCTGTTTCTTTTGACTGGACCAAATGGGGGTGGTAAATCAAGTTTGCTTCGATCGATTTGTGCAGCTGCATTACTTGGAATATGTGGATTTATGGTTCCTGCTGAGTCAGCCTTAATTCCTCAATTTGATTCAATAATGCTTCACATGAAATCATACGATAGCCCAGCTGATGGGAAAAGTTCATTTCAGGTATGTTATTCTCCTGAGCTACAGTTTAATGGTTACTATTGATTGTTTTACTCCATGGTAGTAGCAGGCCAAGTTTTGGCATGTAACCCAAGCTGATGTGATTCTGGCTGAAACGGAGGGAGTTGAATAGATTTTTTTTCTTTTTTCTTATGCAGGGTTGTGTGTCTTACCTGTAGTAAACATTCTTTTGTCTAGATTTTCCCCCACTTCAGAGCTCGTTGCTCTTCATCCCCAAAGTCTCATTAATTAAAGTCAATCTAGTATCGGAAAGAACTTAGAAATTAAGAGAAATTGACAATTTTTTCTTAGCGAAAATTGGTATTTTCTTTTTACAATATTTAGTTCAACTTACTAATATACCCACTCTGGTTATGCAAGCACACCAAAGACGCTTGTCTGCATGAAGCACAATTTTTTTTTTTTTGGTTTTAATATCAAGTGTTTATCTTCCGTTTCTCTAAATCACTATGCATCTTACTTAGTTCTAATTTCTCAGGTAGAGATGTCAGAGATCCGATCTGTTGTTGGTGGAGCCACTTCAAGGAGCCTTGTACTTGTAGATGAAATTTGCCGAGGAACAGAAACTGCAAAAGGAACTTGCATTGCTGGTAGCATTATTGAGACTCTTGATGAGATTGGTTGTCTGGGTATCATATCTACTCACTTGCATGGAATTTTTAATTTGCCACTTCGTACCAAAAACATGGTATATAAAGCAATGGGTACAGAATATGTTGATGGGCAAACAAAACCAACTTGGAAGTTGGTAGATGGGATCTGCCGAGAAAGCCTTGCATTTGAAACAGCGACGAAGGAAGGAGTTGCTGAGACAATAATACAAAGAGCTGAAGAACTTTATTCATCAGTCTATGCTAAAGAAGTATCTTCAGGACGACTTGACACACAACTATTAAAGCTTGGTTCTGATGGAATCCATCTTCAATCAAATGGGACTCAAGAAGGATCTCTATGTCATAAGACTAAGCCAACAAACAGATTGGAAGTCATACAGAATGACGTTGAAAGTGCTGTTACCATGATATGTCAGAAGAAGCTAATGGAGCTCTATAAACAGAAAAACAGATCAGAGCTTCCAGTTGTGAATTTCGTTGCTATTGCTGCTAGGGAACAGCCACCTCCATCAACTATAGGTGCTTCTTGCTTGTATGTCATGTTCAGACCCGATAAGAAACTATATATCGGAGAGGTATTTCTCTGATCCACTTATTGCTTTATTGTTAATTTGATCTACGAAGTTGCACACAAAAGTTGTAGCCTCAATGTAGATCTTACCCAATGCATTTATCTTTGCAAACAGACGGATGATCTTGATGGTCGAGTTCATTCGCATCGTTCAAAGGAAGGGATGCAAAATGCCTCCTTCCTGTACTTAGTAGTTCCAGGGAAGAGCATTGCTCGCCAACTAGAAACTCTTCTCGTCAACCAACTCTCAAGTCAAGGCTTCCCACTCACCAACCTGGCCGACGGCAAGCATCAGAATTTTGGCACATCCAGCTTCTCATTAGGCAGCATGACTGTTGCCTAGCGGGTTAAAAAAAGCAACATGGTCCATGTTTTTCATCAAAATGTATATTTAATTTTTTGCGACAACAATGGATTTCGAATCCATGTAGCAGTGGCTGCAGCAATTTTGCTTTTAATGTCAGTTGCTCCACTTGCTGTGTACATGCATCACCCTGGCGAGGACATTTTAAGGTGTATATGAGTCAGCATTGCATCTTTGCCTAGTATTTTGGTTCCAGTTTAAGATTCTGTAGCAATTACTGTCTCTGGTTTACGGCTTCTTCTAATCACAAGTTCTTTCTTAGCGTGTGGTTTGTTTTGATTCATAGCTGGAAGGATTTTTCATTAGAAAGTAAGAGTGGTATTTATGATATCACAAGAAATTCATAAAAAAATTGAAAGCGATATGATTTAATTTTGATAAAAATCTTATATAAATTTTAAAAAAAAATTTACAAATATTTTTGTATTTACACGAATGCATGTGACTTAATGTTATTATTATGGAAAACTATAGGAAAATTATCCAAAAAATTTTCAAAATTATAAACATTACCAAACATATCATTCACATTAACAGATTTTCAAAATTAAAAAGAAAAGGTAAAAAGCCGTTGTAAAACAAGCTGGGCGGTTTCAGTCCAACAGCAACAAAGCGAAGGCATATGCTGTCGTTCAAATGAAATAGACTCTCTCTCTCTAGAAGAACTTTTCCCTTCTCTCACCCTCAAGATCTCTCAAATCAAACCTCCCTAGAATTTTCCATTCCATTTTCCCATCAAGCAAACAGGCAAGAAAACTTAAACGCAAATTAAAAAAACAGGAAATGGACAAAGTGGTGGAAGAAGTGGAGAAGACAAAGAAAGATGGATCCAAGAGCATATAAAGGAGATTCAGGAATATGGGAAATCAACAATGGGGGAAACTAAGAACAAAAATTTATTGCCCAGATTAACTGGGTTGGCTCAAGATGTTTTGGCTTTGCTTAATTCATTGCAGTTTAATCTTGATCTTCTTGCTCCACAGCTTCCTACAGATGAAGAGGTCCAGTCTGCTACATCTTTACTTGAAACTTGGAGAAGTCAATGCCAAAGGTTAATTTAAGCCCCTTTTTTTCCTCTCTTGATTGGAAAATTTTGAGTTCTTTTAAAGCAAAGATGTAATTTTTTTGGTTATTTGCTTTTGGGTTTTCAGTTCTTGTTTTAAAAAATTGAAAATTTGTAATCCCAATGTTAATGGTTTTATTTTTAAGCAAAGCTTGTTGCTAGTGTTTTAATTGCAGTTAAATGTTCGGATAGGACTTGATTGTTATTTCTGAGATATGTTTGAGATTGAGTCTGAGGAATGCCAATTTGCAAGCAATGGATAATACGAGGAAAACTGCTCAGAAAGAGGTAGTACATTTTCTTTTACTAAGATTTTTTTTTTCGCTTCAATTCACCATTTTTTAGGTACTGTTATACACTGATACGTTCCTTTTGGCAGTGCATTTCCTTTGGTTTAGAAGATCTTTTTGTTTGTAACAATATCTGAAAATTGTTACTTTTCCATACAAACTTTGATAGATATGTTGTTGATTACATCATGAAATTTCTTATTTTTTCTTTTTACAAGAGGGATCATAGTTATGAATTTGATTTTATATTTATGTATGTTTTGTAGAGAGAACTTCTTCTGGGTGGTGGGGAAGAATGCACGCAATTTGCAATATGTTTTAGTTTTTTCTTTGGCCTTTACTGACATAGTAATTAACCTAGATCCCCATATTTTATGCGTTAACTTTGTCCAACAAAAAATAACATAATCTTCTGCTCTTTAATTACTCTGGTTTTCGATGTCGTGTATAATTCATAATCATTTTCAGGACAAAGGCTGGAATGACATCTGCAGCAGAAACCATCACAGAAAGCCTTGGCGGTACCCGTCAATTGATGGTTCAGGTGAGTAACATGATTTTTTCGCTACTGTTTCTTCATTGTATTTGTCATCAATAGTCTTATAATATGGTTCTCTATGGGGTTTTCTCAATTTGGTTTTGTTGCTTTACATCTACATGTAATAGGACGTAGAGAGAAGCAGAAGCATGCTCATGACTTTTGGTAGGTCTTCCTATCATTCCAAAATGAATAATTTAATGAAACTTGCTGAGAATAGTGTGTTGTTACAAATCTGTACTTGAGGTCCTTTGCTGAATGATTCTATCCAATTGACACCCTCCTATTTGTCTATTAGGTTTGCTTAGGAATCTGAGAAGAGTATTCTTTATTGGTTTGGCAAATTTGGTTCAGATTTATGAAGAACATAGACTGGTGTTTTGCATGTGTAGAGGAATCAATGGGAGTGTTAAGGAAGGCTGAAAGTGAATATAAGGGGCACCGCTTATTGTTAATGCGAGCATGGAATCTACTGTCCACAATGCAGCGCCGGGATGTTATTGACAGGTATTAAGAAGGTAGCTTTTCCTTTATATTCAAGTAGTAACTATTGATCTTGGGATGTCACTGCTGAGGCTGGATTTTGTCTGGACAGGGTGATACTCGTAGTGGGATTTGACTTGTTGACTTGTACTGTGCTTTATGTTGTTTCAATGCGTATCGGCATACTTAAGTTGCAGAGGACAGTTACCGCAGCCATAAGGACTGGTATGGCTGGAAAAGCAGAGGTTGCTTGCAAAGCTGTAGAAGATGGTATTAACCGCGCTCAATTTCACAGCCATGTAGTTCCCCAGGTAGGAATACCATTGTAGCAACCCATGCATGGTGAACTTTGAAATGATGTAGTTTTTGTTATAGAAACTAGATCATTCTCTATACAATACATCGTTTTTGTATTTTTCTTTTTTTTTTTAATGAGAAAGGAATATAGTTTAAGAAATATTCATCCATGAAATATAAGAGAATGAGTAATTTCCTTTTCGCTCCTCTTTCCTTGCATTAGATTTATTTAGGTGAAATTTAAATGCCCTGGATCACAATGGAAGAAAAGAAACTCGAAAGAAGTAAAGGAACAAGAAACAAGAAGGCTTTGGTTTCAGCTGCATCTCACTTTTTTTGGATATGGCTCTAGAGAGCTAGTCATTTCCAAATTCCAAATATTTACAATTTCTATGTATTTTCAAACTAAAGAAAAACATACAGATGGAACATTTCATCACTAAAGAGAAAGAAAAAGAAGGGATTGAATGAAAAGTAAGCTAAATATGACAAATTTGTAATTAAGATAAAAGCAAGCTCTGGTGATCATCAAACTGACCATTGAGACTTTGACCAATTGAATGTTACTTGATTATATGCAAGTCCAATTTATGCCAAGAGCCAGAAATTTTTATGGGTCTTGGAGTTGAGGACATAACCACCATTTTGTCCTTTTTTCTGCACTCCAACACAGGTGCATGGGCTGTTCTCAATCAAATAATCTGCTGTGTCCATCGGTTTTGATCCTCTCATAGACCCGCTAGGCCGCCTATATCTGTTTGTACATGCAGAGTAATCATCATAAACATGCATATTTACCATTGATCATGCATGGCAAAAGGACAAGAAAGGAAGGGCATGAAACTCACCCAAGTATTGCCGAAGAGAGACTCCGCTTCTGCCCTATGATAATAAGATCAATTCCTAGAGCTTTGCTCTTAGAAAGAATTACAGCAGCCTTATCTCTCCCATCCATGTCAGTTTTTTCTACACGTACAGGGATTTTAGGCTGAGCAATCTCACATGCACGTTTCATTTGGTCAAGAAAATCAATGTCAGTGGAAGCTCCTTCAGGGACAGAATTAGGAGTTGTGGCACCAGAAGAAAAACTTGGTCTCCTTAAGAAAGTAGAGAACGTGTTTTTCCATGAATTGGGGTTGTCAACATGAAAAAGAATCAGCTCGTCTTGCTCTAGCAATGCATGGGAAAGAGCATATTGGAGGGCTGCCGCTGAGTGGGGAGTCGGGTCAGCTACCACGATTACTTTTCGTGCCGGTGGAGTCACCATCAATGGCCACAGCCAGCAGCGAAAAAGAACAAAAAACCACCACCAAGAAAGAGGTTTGGAATTGAGGTGAAAACAATGGCATCAAATATGAGGTTGTCATTTTGGGGTTATGAGCTTATCCGGAAGTTAACCATATTACAAATAGTTAGCTTTAATTTTGTGATTCGCAAGTTGGAGATTGGTGGGTTTTGAGCTATTTTTGGGTTTATTAATCACTTCTCTCTGCTTGTACATGCTAAATTTAGTGAATGTGAATCCACAAGACTTGGTCAATGCCACCAAAACCTTTGCAAATGAACAAAAGAAACTGTTTGTTGGGCGAGGAATTGCTTTTCTCAATTCCAAAAGAAAATAATTATTGGTGGTTCATGATAGGGTTTCATTATATTTCCTGAAACATTTTCCAAATCTCATTTTGCAAAAACAGTCAAGGTTTAGCATGATTATTAGTAATTGCTAATTCTTCAATCATAGGTTATGAATAGAGTCTAAATAGATTAAGCTATATGAGTTACTTGTGTTTAATTCCATAAATACTCAAATTTGATTCATTTATTATTAAGTTGAGATTGAATTAAAATTATTTGAATAATAAATTAAACCAAATCTAAATATTTTAGAACTTGATTTGAATGGTTCACAACTCTAATTGAAAATTTTATTTTTATTATTACTTTATGTTAAAAAAATGGTTTTTACCTTTATCATTAATTATGTAAAAAAAATTGATTTCAGAAGTTTTTAACTAAAAAAATTCAATCTTTTTATTCGTATTATATTTCATATGTTTAGAGTACAATTTAAGGATTTTTAGTTTTGTAACAAAAATAAAATGGATAAACAAATAAAATTACAACCTCGTGAGCGGCAGGATTCGAACCTGCGCGGGCAGAGCCCACATGATTTCTAGTCATGCCCGATAACCACTCCGGCACGCCCACCTTGGTGTGGATTTCCTCAAAATAAATTTAATAAAATAATCATCTTGAACCGAATTCGAATTTCCGTTTTGATACCTTTGTTTTTTTTTTTTGGGTTCACGTGGATGGCTGTTGGTAGGCTGTTAAGCCTCAGTTTCTGTTTGGTCTCCTTGTTGCTCAGAAAATTAAGCAGGTCCTTAGTTTGTACTTTTATTCTTTCAAATTGTAAATGCCTTTTACATGTTTCAAAGTTCTGTTCTTTTTTATATTTTGTCTGCTTCAAGCAAGCAAATAGATAAATGAAATGAATAAACCAATATGTTGTTGCTTGGCAGTTTCACTTGTAATTCTTATTCTATATTCTACATTTAAAAATCCTTTCTTCTTAATGGGTACGCTTCAAAATCTTATCTTTTTGGGTTTTTCACCGAAAATCCTACTTGGCATTTATTATGTATAGTAAATGGATGTTCTAATTGATTTTTAAGTTTAAGCATGAAATTCAAACTGGGTATTAAACAAGTTTTAATCTTTCATAATTTTTTTTGTTCAAAGTCTTAAGCTTGATATAATCTTTTCATTTGCTTTTCCTCCTTCTTTTTCATTTAGGCAGTGTATAGGAGCTTGCTGATGACCTGTTTGATGTTTTGCACAGAGAGAGAGAGAGAGAAAGGCCTTGAACAACTAATATGATGGCTTCCACACTGTTTAGAACTATTCAAATCCACCCGTTTTTGCTCTACCCAACTACATTATTTAGGAGAAGGAATGGTGCTCTTTACTGCACAATGAAAAGTACTCAAACTCAAACAGCAACACAAGAAAAGCAGCAGCCCTCAAAAGTCAAAGTTTCACAACATACTCAGAGCAAAACACTTGATAAGATCAAAAGAGACTACGAGGCAGTCATTGGAATAGAGACACATGTCCAGCTTTCAACCCTCACGAAGGCTTTTTGTAGCTGTCCTTACAATTATGGATCCCAACCAAATACCAGTATCTGCCCTATTTGCATGGGATTGCCTGGTGCCTTACCAGTTTTAAACTCAAAAGTGATTGAATTTGCGGTGAAATTGGGTCTTGCACTTAATTGCAAGCTATCCCTAAACTCAAAGTTTGATAGAAAGCAGTACTTCTATCCAGACCTTCCAAAGGGTTACCAAATATCTCAGTTTGATATCCCTATTGCAACTGGTGGTTACATTGATTTGGATCTTCCTCTTGAGTTTGGTGGTGGTCATAGGAAGTTTGGTATTACCAGGGTTCACATGGAGGAGGATGCAGGGAAGCTGCTTCATTCTGGAAATGAGGATTATTCACAGGAAATTACTTGTCTAACATCGAATTATAATTGTCCAATTTTATTAATATAACATACAATCAAATAGTATGTTGTTTTTTTCCTTCTGAAAATGAAATTAGTCTCGTTTACTCTCAGCTTTTCAATTACTCCTGTTGCAATAAGATTCTAGTCATTTGTTTTGTGGGTTAACTCAAGTTCATTGGCACGCTAATTCTATCATGTTGTTATACATGTGTATTGGTATTCCATTTTTTTTTGGCACTTTAATGGGAAATTGTTATGTAATTTCATTTTCCTTTTCTGTTTTTCCTTTCACCAATTTCAGAGGGATTAGGAGGCAATTTTACTGTCTCTGTCTTCTTCTTATTGACGCTGATGGTTATCTTTTGCAGGTTGATCTAAATAGAGCAGGAGTGCCTTTGCTTGAGATTGTTTCTGAACCTGATATGCGAACTGGGATTGAAGCTGCTGAATATGCAGCAGAGTTACAGAGGGTGGTTCGATACTTGGGAATTAGTAATGGAAATATGCAAGAAGGTTCACTTCGCTGTGATGTAAATGTATCAATTCGACCAGTTGGGCAATTAGAGTTTGGAACAAAGGTAATTAGTTGCTTAATATACTGTGCTCAAAGGAGTGGGATCTAGTCATATGTCTTTCTAACGGTTTTGGAGTATGATTTATTGGCATGCTGTTAGGAAATTTTATAATTCAAAAAATAAAATGTCAAACATCCCCAAGTAAGTAGAATGGACGACAAACTGGGTGATGTAAGTGTGAAGTGGTCATTGTTAGGTCACAGATGGTTAAGTTAGTGTTGATATTTGGTGGTTAGCTATCCCTGGTCTTTGGAAGGCTTTAATGATTATTTCGATTGTTCAATAACATCAAAATAAGCTGCAAATGCATATGAATAGAGTCAGATATGATTTTAGCTGTGTTTAAAAATTCAATGGACTTTAGAGTAGAACTGTTGAGAACAAACACCAAAAGCAAGTATTTCAAAGTGAAAGTTGTCCCTTTTTTGCTTTTTATTTGTTTTTAATTACTTGGAAGGAAGTCATATTTTCTTTAAATTTTAGATTGCAGCAAGATTAACCTAGAACAATGAATTGGGGACTTGCATTATAGGAAGCCTTGATGACACAATTCAAAAATTTTGGAGCCAACTGCACCATACCGGTAGGAGTGATGGCCGAGTAGCATTGCTGACTTTGCTTCCCCTTTTTCTAGCTTTCTCTGAATGAGCTAAGATCATAATGTTAAGCCTTGGCACTTTCTTGCGATTGTGATTCTTCTCTGAAGTAGTTGCATTATTCTATGGCTTTTATATAGCAAGTTCAAAAGCATGGAGTCGGTAAAATTTTCAGCATCTGACAGCGATAATCTTATATTGTATGGGCAGGTTGAAATAAAAAACTTGAACTCATTTTCATCAATTAACAGGGCCATTGATTTTGAGATATCAAGGCAGGTGCTTTTCCATAGTCAAGGACAAAGTGATCAAATTGTACAGGAAACACGTCTATGGGAAGAAGGTGCTCAGGTTATAGCTGCTTCTTACTCTCAATTTAGTGCCAGTGTAAGATATCTGGTTGACTGGTCACTTTATTGTCACTTATGTACTCCATGTATCTTTTTTCCCTTGTGTAGAAAACAGTTACGATGAGGAAAAAGGAAGGACTTTCTGATTATCGATATTTCCCTGAACCAGACCTCCCTGAAGTTATTCTCTCTCAGGTATTTGTTGATAGCATTCACAATTCTTTGCCAGAACTTCCAGAAATGAAGCGTCGTAGGTATGAGAAGATGGGCCTGAGTATGCAAGATGTTCTTTTTCTGGCAAATGACATGAATGTAAGTCCTCAAAGTATTATTCATTGTTTATAATGGCTGGTAATATATCGATCGGCATTAAAATGTTAGTCTGTTGATTTAGGAACCCAAAATACTAGTTGCAACATCTAAAGAAATAAATGGAGAACTTGTATTAAATTTACCTAGAGTTGTAGGATTAAACTGAAACATAAAAACTTTAACCTATTGTAGCTTATTGCTTTTGAAATTATTCTTATTGGTATCCTTAATATATGATTAAGTGCTAATGTTCCCTGTCCTCTAATCTCCTGAACCAATTTAACGACGTGAGCCTACTATCCCAATTTTATATTGGTTTCTTTTACATTTTATCTTTCTTTTCCCTTTTTCTATGGCAAGCTTTATAGACGGCGGCTTTTTGAATTTTCTTTCACTTTTTACTTCAAGTCCTTGCATTCCTTAATTTATCTTGTTTGGGATCATACAAAAATGATCTAAGTTGGGTTTTCTTCGCATAATTAATGTTTTAGGTTGCAGAATATTTTGATGCAACTATTTCAAGCGGTGCTGACATAAAGCTGGCTGCCAATTGGATCATGGGTGATATTGCTGCCTATATGAAAAATGAAAAGCTGTCCATTAATGAGATCAAACTAACACCACAAGAGCTAGTAGAGCTGATAGCTTCCATTAAAGGTGGGACTATCAGTGGAAAGATTGGGAAAGAGGTAAAAATTTAACAGAAAATTTACTTCTGTTACTGGGTGAAACGGCAAAGTTTTGAGAGTGACAGCTATTCAATACATAGATATTAATGACTTAGCAGAGACATTTTTATATTTTTACAAGTTAGCTTTAGGGGATGTATTTGGGTAGTGATACTGTCTTGTATGCAAATGAGCGAGAAAAAAGTTCTTAATTATTTCTACTTATAAAGCCCTTATTCTTTGGAAGCGTTAATACTTCTATTATTTTTGACAATTTCTTGTAAAATGTTGCAGATACTTTTTGAGCTGCTGGCCAAAGGTGGAACTGTCAAGGGACTCATAGAAGAGAAGGATCTTGTTCAGGCAAGTTAGCTACTTTGCCTATTAAGCTCCTTTAAACATAATTGTATATATCTCTTAAGATTAACCCAGCAGTGAAGTTTTAGTTGTATGTCCTAAATTGTTTGAACATGAAAGATATGGTGTGCAAACAGTGTGAAACTTTTTGGTGAATGCTGTTAACTTTAGATTAATCAGCTTATGCGCTTAACCGCAAGCTGCATATCTTTGACCTTGGCTTGAGCTTTACTATTGAAGTTATATTGTTCCTCGTTAAGTGGGCATTGTTAGCAGTTTGGTAAAGTTGGAGTCCCATTAAGTGATATAAAGAGGAAGATATGCTATACACCCAAATTCGAATAAACTGATATGTAATTTCTTCAAAATTTGTTATTGAAATAGTGGTTTAATAGAGATTATAAAAGATAACAAATGTTCCAACATTTGCAGATAGCAGATCCTATTGAGATTGGGAAAATGGTAGATAAAGTGCTTTCAGAGAATCCAAAGCAGCTAGGACAATATCGTGGTGGGAAAACTAAGCTACAAGGCTTTTTTGCTGGCCAGGTACGATGTTAAATTTACAAGAAAATTACATTTGGTTTCCTAGTATGAAGTTATTGCTACTTGGTTGTTTGTACTCTTCCTATGAAAATGTTGACCATATATGCAGGTAATGAAACTATCAAAGGGCAAAGCAAACCCTGGCCTATTGAACAAAATCCTTTTGGAGAAATTAAATGCTGAAAGCTGAATGTTTTGTAGGTGGGTATCTTGCATTGATCCTTTAAAAAATTAATGAAAATAAATTGTGAATACAGATGCATATGTATCCATACATATTTGTTTTTTTGATGAAAATTCTTGAAAGCTTTTGCTGTTCATCTCTCCATTCTCCAGCCCCCTATAATGGATTAAGTTTGGGTAACTGGTTCAGTTTGGGATGCTCCACTGATAAAATTTTCACATCCTAGCAGCCAAATAGCTACTGCTTGTGAATACAGCAAACTGCAATGTGGAGGAGGATTGAAGTCTTGAGTCATTTGCCGGGTTTTCAATTCTGTGCTCATGATAATTGGCACCATTTTGTATGTTAAATGAAATTACCTTTTATCTTTTTATAATCTTTTTTTTTTTTGGTGTTTAAGGATTATATGTATCAATTCAAAGGAAAAAATAGTATACCGAGGCTGATAGGTGCCCTTTTGTATTTTATTTTTTACTGATTTATCTTAGCATATTTTCTCGAGTTTTTTTTATCAAACCATACTAACATAAATACTTGTTTCTCAAAGTAATGCCATCTCTTGTGAGTAATTACATAAATTAATTAAGCTTCGGTTCTTCATCTTCTTTCTTTACCCATTTTGGTAAACAGCTTACTAATATCAAGACGCTAATTGAAGAGACTTCTTTTTTTTTTTTTTTTACTATGTTGGAGAAGTAAAATGAAATATATGTTTGAAACTAAATAAAATTCAAAAAGTGTTATATAACAGTAGAGAAGAATTGAAAGCTGTAGCAATCATTAGCTATGTTAAACGGTGAGACAAATTTTGTCTTATAACATTCTGGACAAAAAAATTTTCTATAGCTAATTTTTTTCCACTCGCAGCAGACTGTTTAGGCTCCTAGCATGGCTTGGGGGATGATCCAACAGGGTGGTGGCTGAATCTTGTCTGAATAGAATTCATAAATTGGCTTCACACTTTCATCTTTCAAGTTGTATATTCCCATATCATGGCCTCCATACAAGTAATCTTCTTCCATTTTCTCCCAAAAATCATCGGTGAAATAAATTGAGTTCCCTTCACAGTTGGGAAAAGATTGGGTTGAGACTGAAACAGACTGATTTCCACCCAAGAACAAAGCTCGATCACCCAAAGATTCCATCTCAACCCATTTTTGCGCAATGAAATCCAACTTATAAACATGAAACAAACACGTTCTGTAAGGACAAACCTTTGGGTGTGTGCAGTGATCGGTTAAAAGATCTGCTTCATGAACCAGTGTCCCATCCCAATCCACAGAATAACCAATGTACCTCACAACAAGCAGAAGATCCTCACATGATTCAACCAAGTAAAACCTGTTAGTACAAAGATCTCCAAAGGATTTTCCTTTGGCAAGTGATTTCTCAGGAAAAGGAGGATCAATATCAAATTTTTTCATTACACAACCACCTTGAACATCCCATACTTCAACGGTATTCTGCTCACTCAATGCATAAAGATAGTTTTTATGGCTTATGATATCTTGATATGGTGGATGGCTAACGTCAAGCATAGTCCAGTAACTATCTCCACTTTCATGATATGCAATCTCTTCCCCTTCATTGCACAACAAAATCAGACCATAGTTTTTGTTATTGCAGTCAGGTTCTCCTGTCAGGATTGCTTTCTGAATAAAACATTGTCGTACTTGTTGCTTATTACAGAAACTAAATCCAAACCTAGAATGCTTGAAGTAGTCGAGTTCATATTGACCCTCCATGTTTCTTTCCATCTTTAATAAACCTAGCAGAAGATCAACTGAAGGAAGTTGTATTTTGATTTGCTTGAAAGGGTTGAACAGAAACGGGACTGCCTTTTCCTCCAAGAAAACTAGCCACCCGTTTGATGAACCGATGCAACAACTTTCCCTAAACTCCTTTGATATCGTTTTCAGGCTATAAACCTGATTCTCCCCAGGATTCAAAAACCCACTGTAGCCATTGTTATTAACATCAGTACCATCTCCTCCTTCTACCTCTTCCTTCGAAGGAAGCATAAGCCAGGGCATCCTTGAAACAAACTCTTCTACAAGTAAGTTCCAAGAGGAACAAACAGCTTTGGCTTGAACAAGATCAATGAAACTAAGCCTTTTGAAGACGAACCTCAGGATATCAGTTGGAACTTGATCAACTAGGCTTGATTTTCTACTTTTGGTGGGAAAACTTGCCTTTGTCTTAGCTTCCACCCCCATTGTTAGAAGACTACGTAACAAAAGTGCTAAATGTTAAAAATTTTGACAAAATAGAAATAATACGAAAGAAATACGATTTCAAGGTATGAAAAATACTATTTTGAAAATAATTATACCTATAAAATATAACAAAATTTTTAAATTTTTAAATTAAAAGTAGTAAAATTGATCAAATAAAAAAAATTATTTATAATGAACAAATAGATACAAAATTTTTATTTAAAAAATTATGACAATCTATATAATTATATTTTTTTGTTTAAACAAATTTAATCAAACAATCAGGTTTTTTTATTCAAACATATTTATTTAAATAATCATGTTTTTCTGTTTAAATATACTTATTCAGAATAAAAATAATATTTTATTATTGTTTCGAAATTTAAAAAAATATGTTCAAACATGTTTATTTAAATAATCATATTTTTTTGTTGAAACATGCTTATTCAGAATAAAAATAGTATTTTATTAATATTTTAAAATTAAAAAAGATTTAAATAAAAAAATTAATATTTAATTAATATTTTGAAATTTTAAAAAATATGTTCAAACATATTTATTCAGATAATCATTTTTTGTCAAAAATATTTATTCAAAATAAAAATAATATTTTATTAATATTTCAAAATTCAAAAAAATAAAATATTTAAATAAAAATAATATTTTATTAATATTTCTAATTTTAAAAAATTTATTCAAATATATTTATTCAAACAATAATATTTTTTTGTTCAAATATGTTATTTAAAATATAAATAATATTTTATTAATATTATGAAATTTAAAAAAAATAAAAGATTTAAATAACAATTAAATCTTTTGAACACAAATAATTTATTGCATAATACAAATAACTTTTTTACATTACAAACAAATTGTCTTTCTATTTAATAGTTAATATGAGATACCCAACATTTTAAATTTCCATCAACAAACTCTCAAGTCTGTTGTATATTTACAAGCAAATTAATTAGTCCAAATCCTAGCAGGAATAGGATTACTCCAAAACCTTATTGCAAAGAACCAGGCAAGCTATTGGCCCAACAAGAAGTAGACGTGAGGCCTAAGTTTTGTTTATGGCAGTTTTGGGCCCAACGGACAACAACAATTTTCTTTAAAGAGTTCAAGTTCGAATCAAAGCTTTGGCTCCCTGTCTTCTGTTCTCCTCCTCTCAAATCAAACCAACGAAAAATCATACCTGTCTTCTATTCTGCTCCTCTCGAATCAAACCAACAAAAAATCATAGTAAAAAACTAATAAAAAGAAAAACCCAAAAACAAAGAAGATCTTCCCTTTCAAGGTTCACTTGTATCTTTTTTTAATATTACATGATTTTTGGCTTATGTTCTGATTGATTTCAATAGTCTTTTTTCTGGGTCTTGTTCTTCTTTGAGTATGGGTTATTTCTCAGTAGATTTATTTCTGCTTCAATGGCAACCCACATCATGGATGAATTTGCTTCCGTTCTGGGTATTTTCCAATCTCTTAGTATTAGTGATAAAGTGATTCACTTTTTCTGTTTTGCCTTTGTAGATTGTGGGTATTGAAAATGACTGCTGGAGTGATTAAGAAGTTCTTTATTGCATCAATGTTCATGTGGATAGCTCCTCTTGCAATTTTGTATGGCTTTAACCATAATTTTCTTCGTGGTAGGTCCCATTAAGCTCTTTTAATCTAATGTTTAAAGGATGATTTTATCTTATTTTAGTGTAGAAAAGAATTGTTATATTTTTGTTATATGTTACTCTTACTGATTATATACTATGTTAGGTTGCTTCAATCCCTCTTCATTTTCATTTTTATTTTAAAGTTTGGGTGTTTTTTACCAAGTTTAGCAGATTGTTATCTATTCATTAGTAGTATATCTCCTTACTTGTTAGCTTCTGTAGTATAAATCAAGGCTAAATGGTGAAAACATGAACCCTACTGGATTTGAAACTTCAACCCTACATGTTATCCTTAAAATGGTGATCGGTGCTTATGTACTGTTGGGCATATAGGTGAAAACATGAACTCTACTGGTTTTGAAAACTTGGAGCTGTTAGTTGAATGAGTAATGTAGATGCACACAGGATCAAAATCCATGTGATAATATGTTGTAGTTTATCTGTTCTATTCCCCCACCTAGCAAAGAGGGTTGTTCAGCTGATATGGTGAACCATACAAATCGCTCCAATATTGTTTTTGAACGTCAATGTATGCAGAATCACCATTAAGAAAGTAGTTGAATACCACTTTGTTCTAATATTAGTGCAACAGCATCAGGTTGTGGTAGAGAATAAACAAGTTTCATGGAGGATTTGTTCTTTTGTGCTATATAATTTAGTTGACTGAACAAGAAGCATCATTTGTTTGGAACAGGTTCAACAGATTTATCTCCCCATGCTATGACACTGTTGAGTGGGTTCCTTGCTGTAATATCAGTCAATATAGTTATTGCATTCTACATTTGGATGGCAATGAAGGAACCTTCGGATAAGCATGAGCCAGATCCAAAGTTTCTTGCCGATGCCAAAGCTAGTATAAGCCAGCCAACAGGTGAAGCCACAACCTCTTCTCAATCTCAAAAGAAACAAGAATAGAATGGAGAGAATGGAACAATGGGTTCTGTGTTCAATGCTTTTGAGACAAGTTGATTTCTTTCTATGTTTTGTTGTATATTTGGACTCATTGGCAATGATCTTTTTGTATTAGTCTTGAGATTTGATTGCAATCTCATTATTTCTTTTTTTGTTAACTTGTTTTGACCTGCACTTACTGAAATTATATTTATACTAATCATTCAAGTTGTCTCCCCGAAGCATTTTCTGGTACGTGATGCTGGGTATCAATGATCCCACAGTGGATGTTGCAAACATTTTTAAGTGTTCCGCTTTGAATTCCCCATTACCCTTTGCCTCATGAATTCATGTAAAAAATCACTAGCACACATCTATAAATGGAAACATTTTTTTTGGATAATAGAATCTTATCCCAACATCCAAAGAGAGCAGAATAATTTGCTACAACGTTTTACAAACAGAAAGTGGTAGAAATTATCTCAATCTGTAATATCAAAGCAAAGCTTAGCCTCATCCCATGGGCCATTAATCTCAAACTTGTATTCCTGAATCCTTATAAGCCAATACGGACAAACCACATTGACAAAGACCAGCATTCCCACCAATAGCACAAAAAGAAGGCAGTGCAGGCTATAAACAAAAGCCAAAGTTACAGCCATCAACCCAAAAGAGAACAGAAGGTGCAACCGGAAAGAGTATTTCTTGATACAATAGGTAACCAGCGGTGCAAAGAGGAAGACTTGTAATGAGAACAGCATAATTGCAAAAACGTGTAACCTTGATGGTAGTCGAGATGCTATGAAAACTGAAGCCACAATAGATGCATTTAAGGAGATACAACTAGTCAAGTTTGGATTCTTAAGAGCCCCCGGAGCTCTTATTGTGGAGCCAGAATAGTCATGTAAGAAAAGATGAAGCAACAGAAGTGAAACAGTTACCGCCCAAATGGAATCAGAGCTAATCGATCTTGTCAAGGTTTGGTAGATAGGAGCCAAAACATACAAACCGGTGGTAAAAAAGGAAACATTGAGGACATAGTGCAAAAGAAGATTGAGGGAGAGCATTTCCTCAGTTAATAGGAGAATTAAGAAACCTGAACCAAGAAGGCTTATATCAAGAAGCAAGAGGGAGTTTTCATTGAGGGTTGACCTAAGGGTGTAGGTCCAGACCAGGACCACAAGAGAAACAATGCATAGATATTGTGAGATAGAAACTGAATCTTGCATCACCTTAAGAATATTCCTTTTAACAACATTGGCATTCATGACCATATCTTCAAGGAAAGTTTCATCTGTGTGATTGTCATCAAAGCCAGGTTGCATCCCTCCATATGCAACCTTTCTCCATTTGGGTCGAGTTGGAGAAGAATCTCCACTGATGTTTGTATCCATCACAATACAACTGCTTTGGGGGAAATGCAACTTCCTGAGCTTTAGATTGACACAAAGCAAAATGTTTATCTTCTAGGGCAACCTTTGCTTCCACAATATTTTAACTCCAGATTCTAAAAAGGCGAATCTAAGATAGATTATTTCAAGGTCGCAGGAAAGCTGTTCAAATATAGCAGCAATTAGTATCCAAATATATTAAGATCTTTAATAATTTACAGGTCAAATAGTTGGATTGTCTTTCAACAATGAAGCAGAGAGTCCAAATATTTAAAACATGCATCTTGAATTTCTCTTCATTACAAGAAGAGGCTATAATATGTGCAATGGTGAAGAGGGAGAAACTACTTGGCTTAAGAAATGGTGGAAGAAACAATCAAACTGATGAATTGAACTATGTTTTTTTTCAGTAAGCCAAGCAAACTAGGCATTGAATTTTGAAAAGGAAGTTCATAATCATGACTGAAAGCTTGTAAAATAAATGAGAAATGCTAAAAACAAACTCAACAGGGCTTCATCATTCACCCTTACCTGCAAAGCTAAAGCAAGGGAAAATCCCAATTATCCAAGAACTGATTCATATTCATAGAAAGATACCTATGCACAAATCCATGGGTCTCAAAGAAAAAGGACCATTTACTCAAAGCAATAAAAGAGAGAACCCATAAATAATTCATGAATATTGATTCAATGCCAGATCCCAGATAGAAAATCATATATTAAATCCAGTTTTTGACATGGGATTGTCTCAAAACCAAGTTTTAATCCACAAAATTGAGAACAAACCACAAATTATAAACAAATTTCCCAGCTAAAACCAATCATTAGCATAAAAGTAATCAACAATGGCCCATGTCAGAAACTTATACTTCAAAAATATAAAAGCGAAGAAGAAAGAAGCTTGTACCTTTTAAATTCAGAGATGAAAAAAACGTTGGGGTGGGGTTGGAAAAGCTGGGTTTTTTTTCTGGGTTTTGAAAGTTAGGAGCTTTTCAAGTAGGTAGATTGAGAAACGATAAAGTCGTGGCGGGGAAATTGACGAGATTTTGATTTCGGGCTTTTGATTTTTATGGTAGAGAAGAGGGCTAGAGATCCAACTAGACCCAACACTCAGCCCAAAGAAAAGGCAAATTGAAATTACCAGTCCCTTAAATTTACCAGTTTTCTGTTACCACCGTGTGGCTTTATGCGACAACCAAAGGCAACACGAATACTAATTCACTTCAGAAGCTGTCTGTGACGGTGTTGTTTGTCGTTCTTTTGAAGATTTGGTTTTTGCCTAAAGGGAAAGAGAAGATTCGAACTGGGAACCATTTTACTAAATTAACTAATAACCACACACGAGCCACTTCCACCGTCTCTCCCTGCGGTAACTCCTAAGCTGGTGTAGGCTAGTTTCTATCTGGGCTTGACCCGCCTCTGTTCCTTTTTTTTTTTTTTTTCTCAGGAAACAAACAGAAAACCAACATCACTCTTCTCCTTTTACATTTCTCTGGTGATTAAGTAGAAGAGCTGAATCTGATGGCATCCTCTTTGGTTTCTCCTTCCCCAACTTCTTCCTTCATCAGCAACAAGGTCAGTTCTTTCGATTACCCATGTTTTAGATTTTGATTTTTGTTGATTATTTTGACTAATAAGCAAAAACCCATTTTTTATTGGCCAGAAATATTTGGGCTTTTCTGCTTTTCCTTCGACATCTCAAATTGCCATTCACAAATGCAAGAAACGAGTTTCCAAGAAAATCGTCTCAGTCATGGCACCTCAGCAATCAGAGCGTAAACCAGCCACTACTGGATCTGTTAGTTCCTTTTTTCATTCTCGTTGATTTCATTTTTATTGATTATTTAATGAATTTTCATTGATGATTGTTTTATTGGGTTCTTTTTCAGGTGAAGACTGGAATGACAATGACAGAGAAGATTCTTGCAAGAGCCTCTGAGAAACCACAGTTGAGCCCAGGTGATAATGTTTGGGTTAATGTTGATATATTGATGACACATGATGTTTGTGGTCCTGGTTCCATTGGTATCTTCAAGAAAGAATTTGGTGAAAATGAAAAGGTATTCAATACATCTATAATCTTGTTTTCTTTTTCTTTTTGGTGAGTTTAGTTTTTTTTTCTTAGGTTAGCTATGTGCATTATTGAGCTGCTGGTGATGTTTACTAGAATTTGATTACTTTTTGTGTTCACATAGCATTTCAAAATCGAATTTTGTGATTTGATGAAGTAATAATAAATATGTCACTGCTGTAAGCTTCTTCCAATTGGATATTTTTCAAGATTGGAAACTGATTTTGGTGGTTTCTCTTGTTTCATTTTCCGATAAAGTACTTCAAATTTCCTTTAGCGTGGTAACTTAAGTAAAACATTGGTAGATTACAGCCTTGTGTGTGTTTTAGGTGTGTTTACAGCTGTCTATATGCAGTTGCTTAATTAATTAACCGTGTATCATCATTTTGGTATTGAAGGTTTGGGATCGTGAAAAGATTGTTATTATACCTGACCATTATATATTCACAAGTGACGAACGTGCAAATCGTAACGTGGATATTTTGAGGGATTTTTGCACAGAGCAAAATATCAAGTATTTTTATGATATTAAAGATCTTAGTAATTTTAAGGTATAACACTCTTTATCTTGTAATTCAATTTTCTAGTCTACTATTTTGAGGAACTTGGGGTATATTCTCCATTTGTTGACATAAAGCTGAAATTATAAAATTGCAGGCAAACCCTGATTATAAAGGTGTATGCCATGTTGCACTTGCCCAAGAAGGTCACTGCAGGCCTGGAGAGGTATCAATTCTTTACCGAAATTGTTGAATTGTAAAAATTCAATTTATGCCTTATGTTCTCGAACTGCTGTTAAGTTCTTTTTTTCTGCCTTCAGGTTTTGTTAGGGACAGATTCTCACACCTGTACCACTGGAGCATTTGGTCAATTTGCTACAGGAATTGGAAATACAGATGCAGGCTTTGTATTAGGCACTGGGAAGCTTCTGCTCAAGGTTTGTTAATTATTCTTTATTGTTTCATTTGATTAAATGTGTCTCTTATCTTGCTTTGCACAGAATTTGATTTTCAATTGGTTTCATACTCTAGTATTGTAACTTATTAATTGTTGTTTTCCTTAATATCACTGTTTATGTCCTTCACTAATTTGTCAGATATTGTATTTGGCCACCTTATCTGTTTCTTAGATCTAAGCTTCCCCATAGAATTGTCGACATTTTTTTTACTAAACGAGAGGTTTAAGGTGATACAACTCTGTTAAGCAAAAGTCATTGAAGGATTTTTGGAAATGTTTAGTGGTTTGATGAGTGGTTTTGTCCTTTTATGTTTGTTGCTCTAGGCATATAGTTTGATCTGATGACCATCTTGGTCGTTTCCTTTGTGAATGGATCTTGATGGTTTGTATGAGTTGAAGGCTGGTGCTTGCAATTGATTAGGGGTATAATACTTACATGTGGTTTTGTTGCATGTTCAATTGCAGGTGCCAACGACTTTGAGATTTGTGATGGATGGTGAAATGCCTCATTATTTGCTTGCAAAGGATTTGATTTTGCAGGTAAGATCATATTTTCAGGCAATTGTTCCATTTTGAAAGCATGAAGTCATAACTGTGTTCTCACAGAGATATTACTCGTTTTCATGTTTCATAATGTTTTTATTGATTTATTGGTGGATCATAGGATGAGTATAGCTTTTTGCACTGTTTTGTCTTAAAATGGTTTCGATTTTGCAGATCATTGGTGAAATATCTGTGGCTGGTGCAACATATAAATCCATGGAGTTTGTTGGAACAACTGTTGAAAGTTTAAATGTAAGTGAACTTGAAATGATCCATAACTGATGTAAAATTAGGTCCTTCAAAAATCTTAGTTCATTTTCTCACTAGAAGAAATCATGAATTTAATTTTTCTGATTACTTGTATTGGGTAGATGGAAGAACGTATGACATTATGCAACATGGTTGTCGAAGCTGGTGGAAAGAATGGTGTTGTTCCCGCTGATAGTACTACATTTAAGTACCTTGAGGTGAGTGCTTAAATCATTGAGTGAATTTGGTCCCAATTCACTGCTTGGATCAACATCTACTCTTATGCAAAGTTGTTTTCTTTGAATATCTATTGCTGCTTTCCTGCCTGTGGTGGTTTATGGGTTATGTCTTTTGCTTTGCACAGGATAAAACATCTTTGCCGTATGAACCAGTTTACAGTGATGCACAAGCAAGGTAGATTTTTATTATTAAATGGTTAATCAAGAGATCAAGTTCTTATTATTATGGTCTTGTCTGCTATTGGTTCATTTGGTTTGGTGGAAGGGTCATCTCAATCTTCTTTGAGTTATCATTATCTTACATGAGAAATTTACAGCCAATTGGAATAAAATGGTTGTGTAAATAAAATTAGTTTTATAAATCCTAGTATGTGTCACTATGAGTTGTAATGGTATTTGAGATGGAAATAGGATGTTGATTTTATATTGTTTCATGTTTTTTTTTTTTTTTGGAACTGCATTAGGATGAGTACTTATTGTTCTCTCGTGAAAATTTATAGCTGATTGGAATAAAATGATTGAAATTTCCTTGTCTAATGTTATTTGAGATGGAAATAGGATGATAATTTTATGTTCTTTCATGGTTTTTTTAGTGTTTGTTGCGTCATTTCATGCTTGGAACTGCATTAAGATGGGGACTTATATATTTTACATCTTCTGCCTTTCAGTTTTCTTTCTGAGTACAGATTTGATATATCAAAATTGGAACCCTTGGTGGCTAAGGTGGGTGTCTCTATTGAGTCAAGTGATGGGCTCTTTTTTCTGATATCCACCCCACTCCATCTCCCCATCTAACTCTTTACTAAAGATTATGTTAAGTCTTCTCCCGTGTATGTTTGTCAGTATACTGGAGTAATTTGTTAAATGCATTTTACAGCCACATTCTCCTGATAATCGTGCTTTGGCAAGAGAATGCAAAGATGTTAAAATTGACAGAGTATATATCGGATCTTGTACTGGTGGAAAAACAGAAGATTTTCTTGCTGCTGCTAAAGTCTTTCTAGCTTCAGTAAGAGTCGTATATTCCCATTTCTCATTCTTTTTGTTTTACATTCTAAAATAAGTTGAGACTGAAATTCCTCTGGTTAAGGGAAAAATTTAGATGAGAGAGAGTGGGAGCTGCGAGATTATTGCATATTTTACTTACAAGAACCAATAATGACTTATTTTTCTTAAGCTCAAAATTTTTAAATTACTTAAAATGCAGGGAAAGAAGGTCAAAGTTCCCACATTCCTTGTCCCTGCTACACAAAAGGTGTGATTCTGTATTATTAATGTTAAAATGTCATTTGATTTGCAATTAGAATTAAGGAAGAAGTAATGATAAAAGAATGTTCCTGCTAAATTTTGTAAAATTGGCAGGTTTGGATGGACGTATATACTCTCCCTGTACCAGGATCTGGTGGGAAGACGTGCGCCCAGATATTCGAAGAAGCTGGCTGTGATACACCTGCAAGCCCTAGCTGTGGTGCTTGTTTGGGTGGCCCTAAAGACACATATGCACGTATGAATGAACCTAAGGTAATTAGTTGTCTTTTCCCAAGAAGGATACCTTAAAAAGCATACAATTCATTTCCCATGGTTTATCCTTTTGGATTGGCAATAAGATTTAGAGTTTATCTTGTAAAAATGGCAATCGTTTATACTTTCTGTACTCTTATTAAGTCGATAATTTTAATGGGATCACGGATCACACTTGCAGGTCTGTGTCTCAACAACAAACAGAAACTTCCCTGGTCGAATGGGGCACAAGGAAGGCCAGATATATCTTGCTTCCCCATATACAGCAGCTGCATCAGCTTTGACCGGTTATGTCACTGATCCAAGGGAGTTTTTGCAGTAGAAACTCGAGTAACTTGTGTAAGTTCATGAATAACTGGAGGCTGAAAAGAAAAAAGAAAATGGAGCTGTATTGTTGGGTACTATTGTGCTAATTCTGTAAGATTTTGTTTTGTTTCTGTGAAAAAACTAAGAAATAAATTAGTGTGAAAACTGAATGTATATTGAAAAACTGTTTATTGAGAATTATACAAGAATCTTAGGTTTATATACAAATAACTAGATGTTAAACTAGGAAACTAAATCTTCCTAAAAAAAAAACTAATCTTATAATTGAATGATTGTCTATCCTAATTTTAGGGATACAAATACTTAATTCTAGAGATACAAATATAAATATACAGATTACAAGATTACAACCAGCTGTAAATAAGTGTTTTCTCACACTTCCCCTCAAGCTGATGAATAGGTGTTTTTCATTCCCAGCTTGAAAATAATTTCTTGAAATGTTGTACTACTGAGAGCTTTAGTCAACACATTTGCAAGTTGACCTTTGGTTGATACATAAGGTGTACAAATCAACCCACTGTCTAGTTTCTCCTTTATGAAATGTCGGTTTACTTCAATGTCGGTTTACTTCAATGTGTTTTGTTCTGTCATGTTGCACAAGATTGTGTGCAATGCTTATTGCAGACTTGTTATCACAGTAGAGTCTCATTGATCCATCCCACTTGATCTTCAAGTCTTCTAGGATAATCTTTAACCATAGTAGTTCACGAATTTCTTGAGCCATTGCTCTGAACTTTGGTTCAGCACTTGATCTTGCCATCACATTCTATTTTTTACTCCTCCAAGTCACAAGATTACCACTTAAGAAAGTGCAGTAGCTTGAGGTCTTCTATCAGTTACTGAACCTGCATAATCAGCGAATTTCTTTTGAATAAGATACCTCTCCCAGGATTGGCCTTTCAAATAGTGCAATATACGGTAGACAGCCAGTAGGTGCATTTTTTTAGGACTATGAATAAATTGACTTACCACTCTCACAGTATATGCTATATCAGGTCTAGTATGTGAGAGATAAATGAGTCTTTCAACTAATCTTTAGTATATGTCTTTATTTACAGCAGCATCTTCATTAGCTTCTCCAATTTTATGATTAGGATCTATAGGGGTATTTACAGGTTTACATGCAAGCTTCTCAGTTTTCTTCAGAAGATCCATCATATATTTCTATTGTGAGATGAAAATACCATGCAGTGAGTGAGCTACTTCAATTCCTAGAAAGTACTTCAATCTCCCTAGCTCTTTTATCTCAAATTCTCTAGCCAAACACTGTTTTAGAGATTCTCTCTCTTTTTCATCATCTCTAGTTACAATTATATCATCAACATACACTAATAGAACTATGACTCTCCCTGAATCAGAGTGCTTGATAAACAATGTGTGATCTCCTTGACTCTGTTTATATCTCATTGCTAGCATCACTTTGGCAAATCTCTCGAATCAAGCTCTAGGAGACTGTTTAAGGCCATATAAAGCTTTTTTCAACCTGCATACTTTGTTTGCTTCTAGATGATCTCTAAATCCCGGTGAAACCTTTATATATATTTTTTCTTCCAAATCACCATGTAGAAAAGTATTCTTTACATCAAATTGTTGAAGCTGTCAATTGTAATTTACAGTCAATGATAACAAAATCTTAATTGTATTCATATTGACAACTGGAGCAAAGGTTTCATGGTAATCCACTACATAGGTTTGAGTGTAGCCCTTAGCCACTAACCTGGCTTTATACCTTTCAACAGTACCATCTGCCTTGTATTTTACAGTGAAAATTCATTTATACCCCACTGAATTTTTTCCTTTAGGCAACTCTATCAGTTTTTATGTCTGATTTTTCTCTAAGGCCTTCATTTCTATTTTCATGGCTTGCCTCCATTTCTCACTGGATAATGTCTCGGATAATGTAGTTGGAACAAAAATAGTGTTTAGGCTCACAAGAAAATTTTTATAGGATGGTGAGAATTTTTTAAATGACACAAAATTAGAGATTGGGTATAGTAGATGCTTGGTACATTCTTTGGTTCCTTTCTTAATGGCAATAGGTAGATCATAATCACCAGTTATAGTTTTAAGAGATTCATGCTCATTTTGAGAAACAGAGTCAAAAACTGTAGTTACCTCATTTTCAGAGTTAGGATCAAGTTCTTGGACTGACACTGATTCAGGATCTGAAACTCTTCTTCTTGAGTACACCTGTAATTCTTTCATAGAATTAAGAACAATATTATCATTTGTCACATCTTTTATATTTGGAATGGGTTCAGACTCAAATTCAGTGTTTGACTTGGGCTCAACAAAAACAAGTTTCAACTCAAAAGAATTAATGTGTGTAAATGTTGAAAAAAAGGACAAATCAAGCAAAAAGAAGTCTTTATCCTTATCTTTCATGAATGAAGTCTCCTCCTGAAGATAAGGTTGAGTAAAAAATGGTTTATTTTTTTCAAAAGTGACATCTGTAAACTCATAAAATTTTTTGGTAGGAGGATGATAGCATTTATATCTTTTTTGAGTTGAAGAATACCCCACAAAAATACACTTAATCGCTCTTGGATCCAATTTTTTTCTGTTATGACTGTGATCATGAACAAATGATGTACAACCAAATATCTTAGGTGTGAGATTGTTTGTGGTATTGAGGTTGGGATAAAATTGTGAGAGTAGTTTCATAGGAGTTTTAAATCCCAAAACCCTTGAAGGTAACCTATTTATAATATGTGTGGTAGTGAGAACAGCTTCCCTTAGTAAAATTTAAGTACATTTTCTTGAAAAGAAAGGCTCGGGTTGTAGCTAGTAAATAGTTATTTTTTCTCTCTGTCACTCCATTCTGCTGTGAAGTATTAACACAAGATGACTCATAGATAATCTTTTCTTTTTGGAAATAGATAGATAGACTTTGGTTGAAGTAGTCTCTTACATTATCAAACCTAAATCTCTTGATTCTCACTCCAAATTGATTTTGGATCATGTTTTGGAAGCTTAAAAATATACTATTCACATTTGATTTGGATTTAAGTAAAAAAATCCAAAAGATCCTGGTACAATCATCTATGAATGAAACAAATCATCTTACACTAGAAATATTAAGAATTGTAGAAGAACCCCAAATATCACTATGAATCAAGTAAAATGGAGTAAAACTTCTTTTGTTACTAATTGAAAAAGACACACGTCTATGTTTTGTAAGTTCTGAAACATCACAATGAAAATCTTCGACATTTAATCCTTTGAACAAAGAAGGAAATATGTTTCTCAAGGTTCCAAAAGAAGGATGTCCAAGACGAAAATGATAAAGCCAGATTTTGTCTTTATTGAAAGATTTTTCAAAAAAAAAATGACAAAGGTAAATTATTCTTGATACTGTTTGTGTTATTTGATGTCTCAAGATAGTATAGTCCATCATTCTCTTTAGCAAGTTCAATCATCTTCCTCAAACTCTGGTCCTAAAATTTACAGTAAGAAGGATAAAAAGTTACTTTGCAATTCATATCTCTGGTAAGTTTTTGTATAGATATCAGATTAGTAGACAATCCAAGAACATGAAGAACATTTTTTAGAACAAACGAGGGATTAACTTGAACATCTCCTAATCCTGCCACTGTGGTAAGTGAATTATCTGCAATAACAATTTTTTTATTACTAGGACACAGGTTATATATACTAAACTTTTGTGAGGAATATGTCATGTGGTCTGTGACTCCTGAGTCAATGACCCAAGAACTTATAATAGGCTTAGTCGAGACATTTAATCCATGAGAACTGGAAGCTTTACTTGAACTAGAAACTTTACCTAAAGAACATACCACAGTAGGTTTTTCAAGGATTTTCAATAAGTTTCTCAGCTTTTCAATCTCTTCCATGTCGAACTCTCCTTGTTTCTAAGACATATGTAGTACTCCAGTGATTTTCTCAGTTAACATTTCCTCAAATTGGGTGATAGTGATATCTTTCTTTGAAAGGGTTTGACAATGAAGGCCTAAACAGGATTCGGCAATGAAGGCCTAAAAAAGTCAGCAATGAAGGCTGAAAATTTTGCTTCCCAAGAAGAGCCTAAAGCTCTGATACTATATGAAAAAACTAAGAAATAAATCAGTGTGAAAACTGAATGTATATTGAAAAACTGCTTATTGAGAATTATACAAGAATCTTACGTTTATATACAACTAACTAGATGTTAAACTAGGAAACTAAATCTTCCTAAAAAAAAAAATTAATTCTATAATTGAGGGATTGTCTATTTTAATTTTAGGCATACAAAGACTTAATTCTAGAGATATAAATATAAATATAAATATAAATATACAGATTATAATATTACAACTAACTGTAAATAAGTGTTTTCTCACAATTTTTTATTTTATTTTCAGTGTATTCATGCAAGAAATGCAAAAACTAGAGCAGATTTTTCATAAGCTTCAATAATAATATTGTTATTCGGTAGCATGGTAAAGGATGCTTGCGCGAGTAGCTGTTCAGAAACTAGATTATTGATATTATAATTAATTCACTTGGAAATCGACAAACTCCTATAAAAATGTGCCGAGAGATGAAACAGCTTACATTTTGTGTGTTTTGAAATATGAAGTTTTGCTTGGATATCATATTAAGCAATAACTTTTGTTGACCCTTGTTGGGAAAGTTTATAATACAAAATACAGTTTAAACCGAGACTACGGACTCTCTCGACGTGGAGAATGACATCTGATTTGTGAGATATCGTATGTTATAATTTGGGCTTTATTTCACAGAAATCGACTTATTTATGTTTAAATTTTTACATATATATGTTATAACAGGTCATTATAATATCTCATATGATCATTACAAATTTTCATTGTTAACATAATGTAACATTTAGCTTTTCAGTTCAAATATTTATAAATTCTTATAATATCTTGACGTGAGATTAAAAAAGCACGAGTTGCAGCCGTTAACAACATGTTGCATTTAGTTACATTTATTATGATCGTAGAGGTGTTTTCATGTGTAACACTTAGCTTCCACACTTTTGACAGATAATTATTCTGATACTAGGAGATCCGCACGCTTTTGTTCAAGGCTCTACATTTATGAATCTTCGTAATATCGTGAGATTCCAGCTTTACATTGAGAATCTCCCTGCCAGCTTTGGAATGGACTAAAACTGAGTTAAGAGTTATAGCAGAGTAGAATCATACTTACGAACTTGAACTACAGCTAACAAAAATTATCATAACGAACAAAAGGGTCATAAAGGAAACTGTTGAAAAATAGTCCTTCAATTGTAAAAGAATCTCTGAATCATTTGAGGATTTGAGGAAGTTAAAGATGTCAGGAAAAGCACTACTAAAGAAAATACTTGACATTGTCTATTTTTTTCTGCATTCGGAAACTTGATATAAGCTTCATAGGATTGTTACGGATTAGCAGCGAAGCCCAATATAAGCAGACCATCGCTTCCAAAATGATAAGGTTTTTCTCGTTTTCTGCATTAGGTGGCTGTAGAATTTTCAAATGGGCTCCACCAGTTCTGTAGCCACGAGCCACCTAATTGAAAACTCTCACAGTTCTCTGTCAATGTCGTTTTTGACGTTCTCTCCTTTTTTTCTTTTGTCATGAAACAAACAGAAAAGCCACCTCCTTTACTACACTTTGATGATAAACCAAAAACTGTTTTTCTTTGGAAGCAACTCATTGAACCAAGATCATGGCCTCTTCGGTTGGTTTTCCACACCCAACGTCTTCCTTGTTCTATAACAAGGTCAGTATAGCTTCTCAAAAAATCTCACTTTATAATCAAAGTTCCTTTTACTCCATGTCTCTATCATATTTACAGTTTGATCCTTTTGTCAATTTTTTACTAGGAAGATCTGAGTCTCTCTGCTTTCCCTTCAACTTCACAACTTTCCATTTACAAATGCAAGAAACCAATTTCCAAGAACATCTTGATGGTCATGGCACCACAACAAGCAGAGCGCAAACCTGCCACCACTGGCTCAGTTGGTTTTTCTTTTTCTGGACCATGGATATCATGTCTATTGATTGATTATGGAATTCTAATTAATGTTTTTTTAATTGATTTTTGCTTTGGATTTCAGGTCAAGACTCCAATGACTATGACAGAGAAGATTCTTGCCCGGGCCTCTGAGAAACCCCATTTGAGACCAGGTGACAACGTTTGGGTTAACGTTGATGTATTCATGACTAATGATATTAGTGGTCCTGGTTCCATCGATATCTTCAACAAAGAATTTGGTGAAAATGCTAAGGTACTTTATTTATTTGATTTTTAGTGGTTTACTTATTCATTTGTTTGGATTGCTCTACTATCTTACTCGTTTTTTCCCTTTTGGTGGGTTTAATTTTATGCTACCTACAAATAAATTAGCTTTTCAGTGTTTGCATAGCATTTCAAAGTAGAACCTCTGATTTGCCAATAGTGGCGTGATCTATTGGTAGAGTGCTGGACTCTTAGTTCCAGATTAAGGTTCAAATCCTGGTAGCCTCAAGTATAAAAAAAATCGCAGAACCTCTGATTTGATAAGTAAGCATAGCTATGTTCACTGCAATAAAATTCTTCACAATATGTTACTGTTCAATATGTGAAAGTGATTTCATTGATTTCTCCCATGTTTGTATTTACTTGTTTCATTTCCTGTCGCTCTAGAATGCTTCACGTTTCCTTATCTTGGCAACTTCATTATTACATGGTTATATCGGTAAAGAGTATGCGGGCACGCCTTCATGTCACAGCTCTCTATTTGCAGAGGCTGATTTCATTAACAACCATCATTCCCGTATATATTGAAGGTTTGGGACCGTGAAAAGATTGTTGTTATACCTGACCATTATATATTCACGAATGATGAACGTGCAAATCGTAATGTGGACATCTTGAGGGAATTTTCCATGGAGCAAAACATCAAGTACTTTTATGATATTAAAGATCGTAGTAATTTTAAGGTACGACACTCCTGATCCTTGTAGTTCCATTTTCTAGTCCACTATTCTGAGGAATTTAGGATATGCTCTCTGTTTATTGACGGTAGAACTGAATTCTAAATCATACCCATGCAGGCTAACCCTGACTACAAAGGTGTATGCCACATTGCACTTGCTCAAGAAGGACATTGCAGGCCTGGAGAGGTAAAATTATTATTTTACTGAAAATGTTGATATTACTAATACTCTTTTAATTTACACCTTATGTTCCAGAACTGTTTATAAGTTCTTTACTCCTGCCTTCAGGTTTTGTTAGGGACAGATTCACACACTTGTACTGCTGGAGCATTTGGTCAGTTCGCTACAGGAATTGGAAATACAGAAGCAGGTTTTGTATTAGGAACCGGGAAGCTTTTGCTCAAGGTCTGATAATACCTTAAGGTTTCAATTGCTAAAATGTGTTCCTTATCTCAGCTGCCCATTCTTTGATTGATGTTATTTTCCTACTGCTACTAGTATTTCCTTCCCCAAATGAACAGACATTGTATTTGGCTACCTTTTCTGCTTCTTAGAGTTACATTTCCCCATCGATATATCAACATTTTTTTCTTTTTACTAAATGATAGGGTTTTAAGATGATCCAACTTCGCTTACCAAAGTCATAGAAGGAGTTTGTCAATTTAGCAGTTTGATGAGTAATTTTCTCCCTTCATGCTTGTTACTTTAGGCATCTGTAGGATTTATCTGATGGTTATTTTGAGTCTTTCTTTCTGGGAATGGCAATTGATGTTCTCCAAGTGAGGGTGAATCTAGTAACATGTGGTTGTTGCATGACAATTGCAGGTGCCACCAACTCTGAGATTTGTGATGGATGGTGAAATGCCTGATTATTTGCTTGCTAAGGATTTGATTTTGCAGGTAAGGAACAATTATACTTCAGGCAGTTGTTTCTTTTCAATGAGTATGAAGCCAATATCTAGTCTAGTGGAAATATGATTCATTATGTTCTCATTCATTAGTATATTTGTAAGTCATAGAATGAGCTTTTTGTTTTGTTCCCTAAAATGGTTTGCTTTTTGCAGATCATTGGTGAAATATCTGTAGCTGGTGCAACATATAAATCCATGGAATTTGTTGGCACAACCATTGAAAGTTTAAGTGTAAGTGAGCTTGAAATGATCCAATTGGGTTAACTGAAAATTTTCTCAGTTAGTTTCCTCAAACGGTACAAATCATGAATCTAATTGTTCTGATCACTTTTACTGCACAGATGGAAGAACGGATGACATTATGCAATATGGTTATTGAAGCTGGCGGAAAGAATGGTGTTGTTTCAGCCGATAGTACTACATTTAAGTACCTTGAGGTGAGTGCAAAAATAATTGAATGCATTTGGCCAACGTCAATGCTCAGATCACCTTGTTTTTGTGAACAAATTTGTTCTTTTTGTATGTCTACTGCTGCTGCTGTCGTGCTTAGCAGTGACTTATGGAGTTATATCGTTTACTTTGTACAGGATAAAACATCTTTGCCATATGAACCAGTTTATAGTGATGCAGAAGCAAGGTACGTTTATATATTTTAAGACAACAGCTCTTCTTTTTAGTGCCTTTGATTGTAATGTTTATTCTTTTCACCTTTAACATGAATCAACAAGCACATTTGGTTAATCTATGTGCTCTAATTCTGTTCTCTCCTTTTCTGGTTTATGTTGGGGGAAGTTTAGGTAAAATTTTGGGGAGCTGCCTGGTGGAGAAGCTCTAATATAGCTGCTGTGGTAAATATCATCTATATATAAAAGTGTGAAGTTTAAAACTATTAAAAGTGAACAACATAAATACCCTTATAAATTTTAAGAAATAACAAATTTACCATCAAATTTCTAGCATTTTTTATTTATGTATTAAAGATTATTTTTCATTAAATATATAGCATTTATTAGTTAATTATTTAAATTAATCCAAAAGTGTTAAAAGTTAATAGCATAAATACCTTTACGAATTTTAAAAAATAACAAATTTACCTTTAAATTTTTTGTATTTATTTATTTATTTAATAAAGATTATTTGTCATTAAATATATAGCTTTTTATTCATTAGTTATTTAAATTTAAATCAATTAAAAATTTACAAATAGAATTTATATCAAATTAAACTACATTAAAAATTTATTTGTGGGATATGGTAAATGTGTTGTTGAAAATTAACCTAAATTTACTTTCATCTTATTTTTTTTGTAGGATTTTTTTTTGTTCAGTTTCATAAGTAATAATTCAATTAAATTCATATAAAACACATTTCTCATCCTATGGGCTATAGCATACTATGAGTATGTGATATTGAACAAAGTATAGACAAAATCTTTCCTTTGTTGCTCAATTAGTCATTATTTTAGTGTAAATTATTATATAATAATGTTTATGTTCCATAAACATTTAATTTTATCTTAAGTAAAACATATAATTTTTCTTTTTCAAGATACAACCTAATTTGCTATTTATCTTCTTTAATAGTACATATCATGAGTCCTTAAGTATATTTATATTATTTATTTATTTAATTTAGATCAATTAAAATTAAAGTTCATACAAAATTATTAATTAAATTATCAAAAAATTATTGAGAAAGAGTAATACATATATTATGGTAAGTTTGTATGTTTAATGATTGCAATGGTTGATTTATTTTACTATAAAATTTCTAATCACTTTATGCAATCATGTCTTAACGTTACAATGCTTAAATGAATATTTGCTTTATGAACATAATCTCCTGTATATGTGAATTGTTACTAAACTTAGATTTTATTTTGTCTTCTATGGATTGATTCTATATTACATCTAAATTAATTTTAGTCAATCTTTATTTATTTTTATTTTAAAATGCTTTGTACTTAAGATATTTTTATGAAACCATAGTTCATATTGTTAAGAAACATTAATCTTGAAGAAGAGAAATTATTTGATATAATGTTAGTTGAGTTTTTTTTAATTCCACAAGTGAGTTAAAAAATTCACACATCACTCACTTATTTTTTCAATTAGTTTTTTTTTAATATCACTCATTTTTCAATTAGCCTTTTGAAAACTTTTAGACACGTGTCAACCAAACCCAGCATGTAATAAGCTTAGGAAACCAACCATAGGTACAGTCTCGTCTACCTTTTTGTAGGAAATACCTAAGAATAAAAATTATGTGTAATACAAAACAAAATAAAAAAAATCTCAAAAAAAATTTTTTGTTTTCAAACCCCATCCTCACACTAACTTAATTTTGTTTTTCTTTTGTTTTTTTTTTTTACATAAATCATATCATTCAGTTCTGTATCGAGATATTTGCTCTAAGACATATTTCTTCCTAAAAAGTTTTCATGGATCCCGTAGAACTTTAGATTTGCTCATCCTCAGTTAGTGTCTCATGTGAGCCGTATAATGAAGTATATGTTTGGTCAAAAGAAGTCCAACAAAATAATGAAGATTGCTTGCCTATCGGTTATGTGTCAAAGTTGTCCGAGAAGGTGCATTTGGATCCACACAGAATGATTTAAAAGATTTAGCTGCTATCTGGGGACAATTAAATGAAGAAAGAAAAGAAAGCTTTTGTAAGAAGTATTGGCAAATTGCATCCCGCATTTCAGTAGTGATCGATGAGCAATTGATAAGGGTAGCTATACAGTTTTGAGATCCATCCTATAGATGCTTCACTTTTAATCGAAAAGATTTGATGCCAACTATTGAAGAGTATTCGATTTTGCTCTGGATAAAACTATAGTGTCCAGATAAAGTATTCACCCGAAAGCCAAAATCAGGTTATCACAAAAAGTTGGCTAAGCTTATGGGGGTTAAAGTGAAAATCATTGATTCCTTTACGAAGCCTAAAGGTGAACATCTCGGCATTCATTGGGACTTCCTTCGAAACTTCATTCAGGAGCATTTAAATGATGACAAAGGCATGGCTGTGTTTGTTTTATCATTGTATGGCATGGTAATCTTTTCAAAGACTTTGGGTTACATTGAGATAATTGTGGTAGATTTTTTTGAGCAAATTGAAATCCAAGCAATTAATCCCGCACTAGCAGTCTTAGCAGAAACTATTCGATCTTTGAATTTCTATCGACGAAATAGAAAAGGACGGTTCATAAGATGTGCACCTCTATTATATGTGTGGGTTAGAAGTCATTTTAAATGCTGAAAGAATGCATTTTCAAAGTCATATCTACGAAACAAAGCACCAATAGAAGAGTTCTGTAAGAGTCAATGGCCAACATTGAAGATTAAAAAAAAATGGGTCCTTTTCTTACAAGGATTACCAATGATGAAATTGAATGGATGGCACATTGGATGTCTCGAGTGCCTTTGTTGTATTGTAGAGGAAATGAGCCGTGGATACTGTTGTTAGGATTATGAGGTATTGTAAGTTACGCTCTATTGATGGTGCTTAGGTAATTTGGTGCAAAGTAATTTGTTCCTGCCATTCATGGCTTAGCCCAAGTGGAATTCATTTACGAGGAACCGAATTCACCAAGAACCTCGGAGCAGTTAATTCAAGCATGAAAAAAAACACGAAGAATGAGATTAGGGCCTCTCATCGACAAAGTCACTCATGATTACCAGATTTGAAAAGCAAGGTGGCCTAGAGACATAGTACTCTCTCCTGATGATAGCTCACACCAATCAGCTAATCTTTCAACAGAAGTTTAATTATCAAAAGTTGAGCTTGTGAAGAAAGAATTAGAAGCTGAAAAAGAAGAAATGAAAAGAAAAAATTTGAGACTTCGTGAGAAGGTGGGACAACTGAAGTATGAAGTAGAGATACAAGGGAGCAGATTAGAAAAAACCATAAAAGAACGAGATGTGGCTAATAGTGATTTGAAAGATCTACACCAGGAAAATAAAAGGTTACGAATCCAATTCAAAACTAAAAAAGTCACTAAGTCTTACCTTAGTCTGCAACATGAAGTGGATTAGCTCCAAGAAGAAATAAACCAATGAAAAGGTAAAGCTCAAGAAAAGCAAGATGAGACCACTAGAATTTCTCAAGAATGCCAGAATTGGAAGGGGTTATACTTTACAACCTCAACAAGATTGGTGGAATGCCAAAAAGAAAAGGAAAGGTTGAAAACCATGCTGGCAAAAGAGAAAAAAAGCACTTTGAAGTACTAAATGAGAAAGAATCACTTCACCGAATAATCGAAGGTTGGAGCTACAACTGCAAGATCACAAGAACCATATTTCAGTAATGATAGATGAGTGACATAGAAGGGAAAAAGATTGGATCTTCACATGTGATTCAGAAAGAGATGCTCGCATGATGTGAAAAGTAGAAAGTTTAGGGAGGCAACAATACATAGAGCACATAACCAGTCAAGTTTGTAAGGTAGTAAAAAAGGCACGAGAAATGGTTGAAAAGGTAGAAGCATTAAGACAAGAAGTCAATCCTGTAGGAGAATATGGACAGCGCCTAGTAAACTTTCTAGACGAGGTAAAAGATCATTATGAGCAAGTCAAATGCTTCTATGGATATAATTCTAGGATGATAAATCTCATGTAATCAAAGTTGTATGGAATCAATAAAAATTTTTAGTATTGAAATTTATCCAAGAGCAAATATTTTTCACTTGCATTCATGCATCATTTGCATTATTTTTTTAAAAAAATTTTTAAAAAATAAAAATTGACACATGGCATTCTGATTTTTCTAAAAATTTTGTGGTAATAGAGGTTCAAGAATAGGTCGCCCTTTAAAAATTTTGAGTCAACCCACTCGCCATTTATACAACATCAGGACTCAAACAAGAATTATGAAACAAGAATAGACCAATCGATTTGAAAGAATCGAAAAAGCTCAAGAAGAACTAAGAGGGGATCTCAGTACAATAATGGATATGCTCAAGAAACTTGACAAGAGAAAAGCAGTAGAAAAAAATCTCAACTTTCAAGAGCAATCGCCAGATATAGTGGCTCATATTTACCCTCCAGGATTTGAGCCACAATCGACTCAACCTTCTCAAGAAATTAGAGTACAAATCTTATTCTCGATGGATATTCCCATCTTTATCCAGAAATGATATCCACATCTGCTCTGGGATAATTTTAAAATTTTGTTAATCCTGTTATGATGAAAAAATCACCCGAGCCAATTCTAATTCTTGATTTGGATGATCCCAAAGAAAGAGAAAGTTAAGGATAAAGATATCTGAGAAAATGTAAGATAATAGTACCCAAAAAAAGATGAAGTTATTAAAAAAAAGCTTAGAGCAATGGAAGGAATGAATTTTTATGGTTTCACAGATACAACCGAGCTTTGTTTAGTCCCTGATGTGGTTATTTCACCTAAATTCAAGGTCCCTGAATTTGAAAAATATGATGGCATAAAATACTTGATGAGTCATATCATCATGTATTATCGAAAGATGGTAGCATATACTTACGATGAGAAGTTCTTAATGCATATATTTCAAGATAGTCTTATAGGTTCTGCAGCTAGATGGTATGTTCAATTAGACAGGACTCGTATTTGTTTTTAGCAAGAGCTTACAAAGGTATTCCTTACACAATATCAACATAT